TCCATATACTGGTAATACTGAAATACATTCAGATATTAGTAATAAATTAAATCTAAGAGCTTCAGATGTTTACCGTTTTATTGTTGATGATGAATTATTAAACCTAATTGTAAGTATGACAAATGAAAATGCTAAACTAAAACCTCATTGGAAAGATGTAGACCTGATGAATTATTAAATTTTTTTACCATCATGTTGTACATGGGCTTAGTAAATATCCAACAATTGCAGATTATTGGCAAATAGTTTCTATACAAAATGAATTGTAAATCTGTAATGCCTAGAGATAGATTTAAAGATATTTTAAGATTTTCATATACAAAATAATGCTACAGCTGACATCACAGACCGTATATAAAATAGACCCTAGTTAATATTTGAACAACAATTTTGAAAAGTTGAAACTCCTGGTGAAACAGTGGCAATTGATGAGTCAATGGTACCATTTAGAGGTCGTTTGGTCTTCAAACAATATTTACCAGGTAAATCATCTAAATAGGTAAAATTTTAATTATGTGATTCAAGTGGTTATACTTTTAAATCTATTGTTTATGAAGGAAAATGAAAAGCCAGGTTTATCTGATGAAAGAGTTAGTAATACTGTTGTAAAACTTAATGCACTCATATTTAAACACTGGAAGAACATTGGTCGCTGATAACTATTATAATAATATGAAAATTGCTGAAGACTTATTGAATCAAACACACATTTAGTTGGAACACTGAGGAAAATGTAAAACACTCCAAAAATGTAATGAAAGATGAAAAAAATGAAAAGGGTGATATAATTGGTATGAAAATGATAATGGTATAGTTATTGGTCACTGGAAAGATAAAAGATCCGTTAGATTCATAACTACAAAACATACGTAAACATAATTGATACAGGTAAAAATCGATTAGGTGAAAATGTAAAGAACCAGAAGCAATATTGTTTTACAATAGGTTCAAGCAAGGTGTAGATATCTCAGATCAAATGTCTAGCTATCATAGTGTTCTTAGAAAACCATACGGTGGTACCATAAAGTTGCATTTGAGTTTCTCTTGGTACGGCAGTTGTAAGTAAATGCATGGAACGTTTATAAAGTGTCACAAATAATAGTAATATGCAAATAAAATTCGCGAAAATCTCATTCGTGAATTACTTAGTGATGTTATTTCTTCAAGTTGTCAACTCCATCAGTCTCCAAAATTTGTAAAAGACCACATAACTTGATAGAGAGGAAAATCTGGGAATTCAAACAGAAAACGAGGAGATGTAGGTTGTTATGAGAAATCTGAGGTTGACATTGGGCCTAAAGAATCAGAAAATGCAAAATGGTTTCAAACAATTTGCCAAGACTGTGACAAACCATATTGTTTACATTGTTTTCAACAAACATTAGTCACTAACAATTTTATATATTTTTATTGCAAGGCTGTAAGTTTTATGTTGTTCTATTTTCTTTACATGGTTATAAGGTGTTTCATTTATTAATTGTTTTTATTGCTAGATATAAGTTTTATGTTATGTTATATTTTTGATTGTGATAAGTTGTTTCTATTTTATTTTAATTGCAAAATTTTATTAAAACAAATGGTTCTCAATTTAAATATTCTTGTATTTGTAAAGATACAAGCAATTTACTTTATTACCTACTACCAAGTATCTGTATACAGTATATTATTATGTCAGGTATGTTGAATATTATGTTTATGTAATTTTATATGAGTACCAAAGGTTTATTATGACTATCAAAATTAATTATCAGAACCAAAACAATAGGTTTGTATCTAAAATTTGTTTAGGTATAACCCGAAATGCATAGATTATTAATTTTCTAAAATAGTAAATACTCTCAGTTAGACTCATTATAATCACTGACCAGGTTAACACAAGCTTAATAATATAGTAGTGAACATGATTCTGGCTTTAACTTAAAATATAATTGCATTTCAACTTAGGAAATTTACTTAAGTGAAATTATATGAGTCACCGGTGACACCCGCCGTTCAGGAAAAACTGGTTGTGTCACCGGTGACTCCTACGTCGAACGTGTTTTAAATAATAATATTATCGCTATTCGCTTCGTTAAAGTATTACGTGATTGTATTATTTTGTGATACTTATAGTCTCATGTGTCGTCGTTTAGAGTCTATTCAAAATAATTTACAAAATACTCATAAAATATTAACTTTATTAATTTTAATTATTATATAATGGCATCAAAATCTGCTAGTGATGCTGCGAACGGAAAATTAAAACAAAAGAAGAATCTGTTAAGCGATAGGTTAGGTTAGGTTAGGTATATATTTAAACAAAACCACGAAGAAACAGAAAAGAGCAAGATATTGATAACTCAGGTATTTTATTAAATACGATTAATACTGATAGTAATTCTGCCTTAGAGCCAACTGCAATATCTAGTATTGATACTAATAATACTAAAAATGTTGAACCTAATATTTTTAATTGTTTAATCTATATTTCCTACCGACAAATTAATTTTAAAGAACCACTCAGCCACCAAGAAAACGTTTTATCATTTCAAGGGCCTTGTCGCCTCCATTTCCACTGACAGTGATAATTTCTAGATCATTTTCAGAAAATTTTATTATTTTACACAAATCAGGCTAATATTACTTTAAAACGTACATGGCTATGTTACTCATTAACTTTAAATCAAATATATTGGTGGCTTGGTGTGGCGCGTTGTCTGCTACTAGTCGCGGAATGCGACTGAGAGTAAGTAACGGCCATAGCTACTAGTTCCCGGATGGGTGACCACTCGGGATCGTAGTGGTTAAAAACCTTGCCACACATACACGTGTTTGCTATCAACCGTAACAATCGTAAAAATACAACCTACCGTACCAACCTTACCCCTTACCATAATTCATAACCCCTACAAACAGCTAATGGCCCTAGTTGCCGGGCTTAAGTTCAATAAAAAAAAAAATATATTGTCAATGCTGTTGGTTGTTTTCTACTCAAGATAGAATTAGTTCATCATGGGTTACGGGAAATAATGATTGGAGACATCTTACTCAAAATATTAAACGCCATGATAATTCAAATGATCATATTAAATGTTGTATTATATTTGTACAATGGCGCCTAAATAAAACAATTTCCGAAGAAATGGAATTATCTATTCAAAATGAATGTAACTCTTGGAGACAAGTATTAGATCGGGTTATCAATGTCACATTAACATTAGCTACATCCAACTTGTCTTTTAGAGGTCACCGAGAAACAGAATTTAGTAAAAATAAAGACAATTTTTTATCAATAATTACTCTTATTTCAAAATATGATCCTATATTGGAAAAACTATTGAGTATGCCAGCTGGTAAGAGCACAGCAAATTATTTAAGTAATACTATTCAAAATGAGATAATTACTTTACTTGCAAATACGATATTAGAACAAATTATTTTAAGTATTAACCAATCACCATTTTTTTCTGTCATAATGGATACTACTCAAGATATTAGTAAGATTGATCAACTAAGTCAAGTTATTCGATACGTTTCGATTATTTTAGACTCTGATGGTAATCCTAAGACACTGCAAATAAATGAATCATTTATTGGCTTTCTAGAAATTTTAGATCAATCAGGTGTTGGTTTAGAAGAATCCATTATTAATTGTATTACAAAAAATAAAGGGGGCCTTTTTTTATTTTTGCACACGGGCCCATCTTTGGGATAAACCGCCACTGATCATAACGAGATAGCAAAACTTTTACGGTAACAATTAACTATGAAGACGCAAAATAATAATTAAATTGCCGTCTTTTTTGAAATTTAATATAACAAATTTATAATTTGCCGCCTCAATTTCTTTAAAATTTTATGCCGCCCTAAAGTAACGCATGGCTTGCTTGTACCCTAGCGACGGGCCTGGCTATCAGTAATTTCAAGTTTATGTGAATCACATAACACCGTATCTAAATTGCCATTAAACCCTCAAATAAAATCTCATTTGCCGAAAACATGACCAAAAAATAATAAAAATGTGTATTTAAGAAAAATATGTAAATTATTAACAAAATGATGTAGGTAGGTCACCAAAAATTAATTAAGCGAAACCAACTTTTTTTTTTGATCAACATTAAATAATAAAAATCTTATATATCCATCCAATTATACAGAAACTAGCTAACAAATTTTAAAACTTCTAGAAATTATGTCATAAATGCGCGACTTGCAGGGAAATTTGAAAAGGAAACGATATAATAATATTAAACCACAACATTAAAAATGTATTTCATAACTATTTTTATTATATATTATTAATTATTATTTGTCATCCCTAATAACTATTCAATAAAATATAACAATGTACAGTCGTGGTAAATTATGTCAAGAAGTGGCCTCGTTATACAGTAATTTTAAAATGTGTAATGCAGAAATGTTTCTTATTTAATTCATCCGAACGAATACTGTGGTGCAGTGGCGTAAATAGGTCATTGGAGGCCCGTGTGCAAAGAATAATATGGGCCCTCCAAAAAAAGTAAATAAGCAGTAATAATAATGATTTATCCTTATTTATGGTTAGGTTATATTTATTGTTTACATATTACTTACCTGTAAGCAAACTAGCAACACTTAATTATAAATTTATCACATCTTGTACTTAATAAATTTTTTTAGGTAGGTACATTTAAATATTATAAAAGTATAATACGTTTATAGAATAATAAATATCAAATTAAACAAAACAAAATATTACTTATGTTGTAATAATCACCACAAAATAAAATCATTCCATATTAATAATACTAGAAACACCTATGTAATTATTTATTAAATAGTAGGTAGGTAATATACAAATATTTATGAATGTATAATCATAGGCGTAGGGTGGTCAATTTTTTTGGGGGGGCTTTAGCCCTTCCAGGCAAAGGATTAACAACCCCCCCCCCAACCGGTACATCTGCAAATTTACATAAAAAATACAAATAACGTGTGACAATCAAAGGTTTTATTAAAATATTCTATTTTTTTTTTTACGGTTACAACATTAAACGTCTATTTTCTTTAGAATATATCTCTAAAATATCTTCAGCATTTATATTATTCGATACATCTCTTTCAATATTAATAATAGCTAAAGAGGAAAAACGATCATTATTCATGGTAGAGCGTATATAAGTACTGATTCTTCTCATAGTCGAAAAAGACCGTTCACAAGATGCTGAAGAAATCGGTATACTTAAAGCCAAGTTCAGAAGTTTATATAGATTCGGAAATGTTTCAACTGTAATACATTTTTGAAATGAACTTATTTGGTTTCTAGTTTCTGAACCCTCATATTTTTCCAGGCAGTTTTTAGCTACCATCATTTCCGCTTTAAGCGATGCTAAATCAATCTTCAGTAAATCCTAAAATAATAATTATGACACATTATTCTTAAAAATTATAAACAATTAATATTTTTATTAAGTTATAAGTAACTATAGTAATACATAAAAGATTTAACAGTGGTTATTGTAGGTAATATTAAATAAATTGTATTTGGAGTTAGTGAGCATTACATAATTTCAGCACCCAGAAGGATAGATGAATAAAGTATGCAGATACTTTAAAAATATAAACACTTACTTTTTTCCAATTGTTAAAACCTTTAGTTATAAATATTTCTTCAGATTTACATTTTTTTGTACCAAATGTACGGCATGCATAGCAAAATACACTATCTTTTGAAATGCTATACTCAAGCCAATCGAATTGTTTAAATAATGCTGAAGTAAAAGCTCGATTTTGTGATCCAAAACAAGTTTTAGGATACGCCTAAATAATAGATATTGGAATAAGCAAACAGCAAAAGCCAATAAATTTTAGGCGAGGTTTTAGGCAAGCTATACATAATATTATATATAATTATATAAATTGTATATATTATAAAACTTACGTCTAATATAGGTGTTGCTGGGCCCGAGTCAATATCACCTAAATCTAAAATGTCATTAATATCACATTGTACATTTTGTGTGGGTTCATGTACAGCCTTCACAGGCATAACATCATCTACAGATGCATCATCTTCAACATCAACAATTATGTTTGTAGTATTTATTGATGCCACTGAAATGTCTACAGACCGCTTAGGTTTACAGAAAATACTAAATAGTTTATTTTTTTCCATTTTGGTAAACACTAAACTGATTGAATTAATAAATTACAATAATTGTATTATTCAAAGGTTCGTAATATACCTAGCACAATAAAATTAGTGATAGGTATTCGGTACATTTCGTTTCCATCACGTGCTTGTAGCGCTTATCTTATATTCTTATCAGTTATCGCTATTGCATTTTATTGTTCTGTGATTTTAGTAAATAATAATAATAATAACACAATAAAATAATGAATAGATGACGTATGGATGTATTTTAATAAAATAAGCACAATTTAACCTTAACGACATAATATCGACCGACAAAAACAACTCATTATTGAATGATAATATTATAACTTATAAGAAATGTAATGGATAAAGTGACATAAAAAAATAACGAATTATTTTTATCGATATTTAAATATCGAAAAAATTATTTATTTGCATATTTTTTAAATATAGGTGGCCTTAAGTTTTTTGGGGGGGCTATTATTTCAACTGGGGGGGCCCCCCCCCCCCCCCCCCCCCCCCCCCTAACTACGCCTATGTGTATAATATATAACATAATTTTGTTTCATTTCAATAATTCTTCAAAAACTTATCATGAAGTATAAAAGATGCAACATTAACCAAATAAAAACATTGAAACTACTTGAGAAAAGTTTTCCTTCTTGACTTTAAATTTGCAAAGTCTATACATAGTATAGATGCATAGTACTAATACAAGGTCCGTATTTCTTAGTATTTTTTTTCAGATATCAAAATAATATATCTATTTTTGTGAAATTTTTAATCGAATGACGAATATAGAAATAGCCAATAGGGTATAGGTATTGTAAGATGGGCTGGGGTCGCTGGGGCCCCCTTCGGTTACGAGGCCCGTGGCATTTGCCCACCTTGCCCACTCGGTATTTACGCCACTGCTGTGGTGGCAATGGTAGTGGAGGTCACCGGGGCAGAGGTGGCGATAACGTATAGACCCTAAGTATGGAATTGGCGATGGCATACTGATTGATCTCGCGTATAAACTCGAGCACGAACGATTGGACGAACGAGACAGCCGGCTGCTTACTACGCGACTTATCGCCGGTGACTAGTACGTGAATACAGCCGTTTGCCATCGGTTGCTCGTAGATCGATCTTATAAAAAACTGGCATTCGGTGAACCGCTGATGCATGATATTCACGTGGATTTGGAATTGGCCGAAAACAGGTCCTTGGTCACGCGCCTCCTCGGGCCCGCAACCGCCCACGTGCGTATAACGCGCACCGACTGTGTAAAGCCTCCAGGTGTCATGTGGAACGCCGGTCAAGGTCATGTAGTATCGGTATATGAATTCCCGAACCGGCTGCGTAGTGACGTCGCAAAGTTCTGTTACACTCGGATCCACGTCCATTTTCAGATCGTTTTCAGACATATTTCCTTTAATGTTATGTTAAAATAATATTAATCGTTATCAATTGTTTATTTATTAATTTAAAGAATACTATGTTACGTATCACGATGGTTACTTCAATTACCTTCACGAGGTTTATAGTCACTATTTTAAAAAAAATTTTAACCTTCCATCGCCGATTTATGAACTAATTCACAATCCATCAACGACATATTTTTGATTTTTTGAGTCTATGCTCGTTAATACATGTACACGTATAGGTTTAACGCACACGTGTATTCATATACATTTATAAGAATAAATATTTTACATAGTGGCTAGAACAAAAAGTATATTAAAAATCAATAAGCAGTAAATCCTGTTATAATGGTAATATTTTTGTGGATTTCAAATAATGAAAACTTATTTTTGTGTAAAAGTAATTAATATTTATGTAGTACTCGTATAAGTATAAATATAAATAATTATAATTACGCACTAACCAAAAACTATTCAAGTAAACATAGCTGGTTATATGTCAAAGTTAAGTGTTTTAGTTTACACCAGTGGTTCTCAACCTTTTTGTTATGACGACACCCTAATTTTGATCCATACAAATAGCGACACACTTAATACAATTAATGGATTTTTGAAAAAGAAAAAAATTACTAACTTTTATAAATTAATACATTTATGAGCATTTATATGTTAGCATTTTATTAAAAAAAAAAAAAAACAAAAAACAAAAATTTCAATTTACTTAGTACCTAATTGAAATTTAAACAATACAAAGAAAGTATTACAAAAATCATATTGCATACAAGTCTGCAATGAAGTACCACATTGTATGTCTTTGCTTTCCTTGCTATTATATGTACCACACATCTAGGTAATATTTATAGGGTAATTGATAAAAAATAAAGACACGACTGCTATTGGTATACAATTTTTTTTATTTTTTTATTATTTTATATTATATTTATAAATTTTTTATTCTCATATATTATTGACAATCAGTTTTCATTATCATTTATATTATTGCTTGAAGTAATACTCAACAGTGGTTGATGATGACTAAAGTAGGATACTATTAGTTAAATGGTAGAAAAAAAAATGTCTTATTCTAAAATAAACAGCGTATCGTCCATGTCCGATTTTCATGATATTCGCTATATGCTCATGATGGTATGTTTTTTTATAAGACGAATGTATTTCTATGGGACTAATATAAGAATAAAAATTGACTAATATGAAACATGAAAAAAGTTAGATTTTCTTAATACGTGAGTCTGTACATTAAGACCAGACCAATGTGAGATAATAATTCCGGAGAATAGATAAGACCATTTAATAAGTGATATAAGAACATAATATCCGCAATATTTCGTCATAGTCGATCTTCTCCATGAAAACAATTATTTAAAGCTGTATCTATTAATGAGTGAAAAACTTTAATGTTAACATTTAATGTGTAAATTATTGGTAAAATATTTAGTTATACGATGCACCTATTATAGCCATCAGGTCCAACAAAAGTGAAGTACGTTAAAGTATTATTTTTTGTTTCTGACGTCGCACCATATACGGTTTAATCCATCGATTTCTTGACTATATCATTCCCAAATTTAATTAATTTTATCTGTTTGGCAAATAGAATTCAAAAAATAAGCGAATGTTTACAAAATACATATTCTACTGTTCATAAAAAAAACGACGGTTAAAAAAGTATTTTTAGAAGCTCCCAGCCGAATTATCAAACTACGTGAACTATTACCGGATTTACCTTTACCACCACAACCAATTAACACTAGATAGGGTACATGGATCAATGCAGTAGAAAACTTTTTAAATATTTTTGATTCAATAAAATGTGTAACATCACATTTAGAAGACGAAGCAATCAATTAAAAAATCAAAATAATTGTTTAAAAAGATTTAGCTTATTTAAAAAGTAAATTTTGTTTTCTCGCCGAAGGTATTACTAACCTAGAAAAAAGTACACTATCTATTGATGAGGGCTTAAAAATTATTTTAAATATGAAAGATGAACTATTATAATGTGACGGGAGAGTAGCAGAATTTGTACAAATTTAAATAGATTTGGTAGTAAAAAAGAATAAAGGATTCAAACCAATTTTAAAAATTCGTAGTATCATAAGCGGTGAGTATGAAATGGAAGGACATGATATTAATATTAATTCAACTCTAGGATAAATCGCGTCCTTTAAATATGCTATAACAACATTGTGATGTAGGAAAGAGTTTTAATCAATACATTTTGTTTTCTACGTCCAAATCGCCGGTTGTTTGTAATTGAAAGTTTAAAATAATACATCATAGTGGCATGTAATTATATAAGTTAATAGGTATTAAATGTAATGAATAACAATGAATAATAATTTTAGAAACAATAAAAATTTTTTTTTTTTTAGCATATTTTTGCTTATATTGGTAAATAAAATGTATATTTTACGATTTGTTATTACATATAAATATCCTAGACTTAATTATAATAATTTTTATGAATATTATTTTTATTTTATCATGTTTTAGCAACTACAATTTTTTTGTTTAAAAATAAAAACTCGCAGATAATCATACTATATCTGTATCTTAGGAAATAAATAACAAAGTACTGTTTACACTATATTTTTAAAACATCAAATATTTATTTTTAATGTTTATAGTTATTTTTACAATTAAGAAATGGACCTTAAAACTAATTCATCTGATTCAATGATTTCTTTGGAACATTATAAAGTTTCAAATATAAAATTTAAAGAAAAGGCGAAACAATTAATTTCAAATTTATCTGAAAAATTAGAAGAAAAGAATAAAAATTATAATGAAATCAAAATAAATGAAGATGTTTTTAAACTCGAAGTATTGAAGAAATTAAGTGACGTTAAACAGAATGTAACAATTGACGATTTAATATATTTGACAAATATAAAATCAAAAAGTCAAAAAATAGCTTTTAAAAAAATGTTGAATGCTAAACAAAAAATAAAGCCTCGTAATATTGTTGAGTTGGTGAATCGTGCATATTTATATGACGATTTTAATAGACATTTTATACGGTATAATTTAGATTTAGAAGATATTAAATATATAAAGCTATCGATTTTGTATATTGATAAACAGTGGATAGATATAAACAGTAGTATTAGCCGAGATAATAAAGACTACATATGTAAAGTCCGTCAACTTAACCAAGCAAAAATATCATTTTCACAATATATTGACTATTTAGAAAATCGGCTGAAAAATATTAAAGACGAAGTTAATATTGAAATAGCTAATACTAAAGTTCCAAAAAATAAATTGGAAGAGTTAACACATGTTTATGAAGGCGTAGAAAATGAAGTATTACGACTATTGAAACGCATTATGATACCAGAAGGATGTTATATGATTTTAACATGGTTGAGTCCACCGGAGTGGAAAATGAAGTTCAATATTGATAAGTTAAATTATGATTTTGTAAGATCTGATTGTGATTTCAGTAAAAAGAATAATGAAGATTACTTGAGTTACGCCTATCAAAAACCATTAGAAGAATTTGCTAAAGAAGTTCGATTAGAACCAGTATTAGAAATGTACTGGGAATCTGAAGAACAATTTACAAAAAGATTAGTTTTGTTGGATAAGAAAACTAGAGATAGTATGTCAATTTTGGATATGATAAATAATTCCCACAAAGTTATGAATAATAAACAGCAGTATTATTATGGTAGACGTAAATACAAAAATAAACTAAAACAGAATTTAGTGTCAAACATGGATGGAATCAACCAAATTTTAACTGCAAATCATCAGACAAGTTTGAAAAATATAAAACTTTTATTCTTTGATGACACCTTATTTAATATAAAACTAATGTCATTGGATATTTATGCAGAACTTAATAAACCATATGGAGATCTTACTAGACCCTCTAAAGTTATAATATCATTATTTAATCAATTATATAAAATGCTTAATGATTCAGATGAATTTTCAAAACCTCTATGGAAAAAAACCGAGCAAATATTAAAACTAATTGAAGAGAGTAAAGCAAAGAAGTTCAAGGATATAAAATTAAAGTGTGAAGCAGTGAAACTCATTCAACGCGAAGCTAATAAAATATACGACTTGCCTCTTCAAAATGTAAGGGTACAAAAGCTTCTACCTAACAGATTGATGATACCTAAGCAAAAACCACCGAAGAAACCAAAAAAAGCAACATTAGATAATGAGCAACTTATGTACTTACGATGTTTTACGAATTTATCTCCTACAGATATCACTAGTCATATAACTTCAGTACCTAAGTTTAAAATAGACTGAAATAAATCTGTAGCGCCAACACCTTGTGTATTAACTAAAGTTAAATATTAGTCAATATCTAGCGATTACTACTATTGTTATTTATTAAAAATAAATATAAACAAATGATTCAATGTCTATAATTTTTTTTTGTTTTTTGTTGCTCGTTAGAAGATATTATAGGTTTACCCTTTTAGCGCAATAGTGTAGATAAAATATGTCGTTCAAAAATTATTTTGCATCAAATTACTAGTAAATGTATACATTGGTTTAGTATTGATAACAATTATTGAAAATAGTAACATAGGCATAGTCAGATAGTGTACAGAGTGCACACTGGATACTGCCACCGAGGAAGTGGAGTATGTCAACGATTTATTCCTAAGCTTTGCTAACCAACACGCCGAAGACCTTATCGGGCCTAGTCTCACCAAGATCGTCAAAGCAATGGAATTAGTACGCAAGGCGCTCGCGGTACTATTAAGCGACAGGCCGTAAGCCCCAACACCAACGTCACCGGCAGCAGCCGTAGATGCTGCCACAAATACCGAACCCGGTACAGCAGCCAACGCAGCATCAAAGTCCAGGCGTAGGAGACCCCAAACCAAGTCAAAGCTAGATAGTAGAACGCCCAAACACGGCACGAGCATCACCGCTACACCTAAGTCACTGGTACCAGCGTTAAAAACAGATGCAAGAGAAGAAGCTCCATTTATCAGAGTAAGAAAGAAACC